GCTTCTTTTATTGCTAACAGTTACTTACCCTCTCTAAATTCCAGGCTCCTCATCTATAAATCAGAAATAACCAGCTCAGGACGCTTTTGAAGGAACTACAACATTTGTAAAATTCTAGAACCTAAGTGTTCAAAAAACATTATCTATCCTTAAGTGCAAATGAGAATCAACAAAGATTTCCAAGATGTTGCCTGAACAATTGACAACCTGAAATTTCCTTCAACTTTACTGTTGTAGTTCAAAAATTCATTTAAAAGTTGTGATCTATGATTCTATATCTGTCACATTGTTGCTGTTGCTAAACATTTCCAATGGTCATCCTCCCTTGAATGAATGACCCATGCACTTAATTATTATTTCATTCAACTGTCAGTAACCTGTCCCTGGTGTCAATAATTTTTAATCTGTGTCCCTATGTAATTCACTGCTTTGATATGCTGTGAACTTGGAAATAAGGTATTTATCTTTATTGGGGTTATAAATAATTTAAACACATAGATACAATATGAAACAAAAGCCTTCAGAAGCTTCTCATGAGTGAGGTTTAGTATATAAAAATGCCTCTCCTCTCATGCTCAGAGGTATTTTATATTTCATTCCTGATTCATGGCCATATTCCAGAAAAGTAGGTAATCAGATTTTGTGGTACTTCTATTTATGGATGGTTTATTATTAATAATTCATTTAAAAACAATAAGCACATTGCATGTTAACATTTTTTATTTTTTAAGTAACTTTATTTTCCCCAAAATTAAGAAGAGTAGCCTTATTTTACTTCTTCCAGCTCTTTAACATCTGGCTTACTGAAAGACAGATGACTTCCTCTATATGCTTCTGCATTTATTCTGTTGTGATACAAGTCACGTAACCTCTGGAAAACTCTTCTGTACACATGTGGGAGATTAAGAGGAAAAGGCAAACCATGCCTTAAAATTATGAAGGTTTGACCACAGACCCAAAAGGAACTCAGGGAACCTAGAGATTTCCAGAACATACCTTGAGAACCAGCACCCAAAACAAATAAGCCAGAAGCCGTTGAGCTCCTACAGCTGCCAGTTACTGAGTCCACAAATATTTGTTTTGCGTTTAGCTTAAACCCATTGGAATTGGGTTTCTGCTACTTGTAACTAAAAGAGGTCTGAGCAGTGCACTGTGCAACCCTTAATTCTTCCATGCTCAGCAGGAAGTTCAGGAAAACTTAGTACAGACTCACAGAAGAAACTGTCTTATTTTCTCCTTCTATGCTATCCACCTTCCTTATATCTCTAACTTAAAATTTTTGTTTTATTGATCAAATTTCTATCTTTGGTTATTTATGAATGTCTGATGACTATAAACATCATTCCAGTCATTCACGTTCCAGTTATTCCTAGAATGCACACGTGCATTCAGTTATCAGTCGTATCTGACTCTGTGACTCTTTAGACTACACCCCTCCAGGCTCTTCTGTTTATGGAAATTTCCAGGCAAGAATACTGGAGTGGGTTGCCATTTCCTCCTCCAAGGGATCTTTTCAACCCAGGATTGAACCCAGGTTGCCCACATTGCAGGCAAATCCTTTACCGCAGAGCTATTAGGGAAGCCCAAATTAGCAACCATCCTAATGAAATGGCAACTGCATGCGTGCAAATGTCACACAGAATTCAGGATCCTTTTAAGCCAACAGACTGTTCTGAGAGTTTCCATGAGAAAATTAAAAATACACTATTAAGAAAAAGGGCTTCCCAGGTGGCGCTAGTGGTAGAGAACCTGCCTGCCAGCGCAGGAGATATGAGACACATGGGTTCGATCGCTGAGTAAGAAGATCCCCTGGAGGGCATGGCAACCCACTCCTGTATTCTTGTCTAGAGAAGCCCTATGAACAGAGGAGCCTGGTGGGCTACAGTCCACGGGGTCACGAGAGTCAGACAACTGAAGCAATTTAGCACAATTAAGAAAAAAATTAATTCTTAAAAGAATTCATATTCATCTGTTAGAACCAGATGAATACTGGAGGACAGCTAGTTAATATAAGACCTGAAAATGGTTTTTATTCTACGTTAACAATTACTTTTCAGAAAGGGCAGCTCCAAAAGGGAAGTCAGCAAGAAAAAAAAAAAACCTCTCCAGAGGGATAACTCCCATGTCTTTTAAGAATTAACAATGTTAGTCTCAAATTTTTACTTCCTACAAACTACTTGCATCAAATTAACTGTAATAAAAAGATAAAGAAATCTAAGTGAAAGCAGGTAAAGATGATGGGATTTGCTGAAGAGTAATGCTAATATCTTGCCCTTCCCCCTGAAACAATGTACTAAGCCAAGGAGAAATGCATTTATTGAAAGAAGGCTGTGTGTTTTCAAGTGAGGTATGACTACCTCTAAAGTTCTGTGTGAGGAAGCATACAAATGACACCAGACAAACATTCTGCCTTTTCCTTATGTGTCAATTCTACTTCAAGGTTTTAGGGGAGAAAAAAGTGTAATAAAACAAACACGATCTACTGGAAGCATACACATACATACATACGTGTGTATCTATGTATATGGCTTTCCAGGTGGCGCTAGAGGTAAAAAAAAAGTCCACCTGCCAATGCAGCAGACACAAGAGACATGAGTTCGAGCCCTGGGGTGGAAGGATCCCATGGAGTAGGAAAGGGCAACCCTTCCTGTATTACTGCTCGGAAAATTCTATGGACAGAGAAGCCTGCTGGCTACAGTCCACAGGGTCGAACAGAGTATATATGCATATATATGTTAAGTATATATATACTTACATATATACATATGTCAGGTCAGTTTATTTCTGTTCCTTAGTTGTTATACAAGAAAAATTTGAAGGGTTTAAAACAACAGACAAGTTACAGTTCAGTTCAGCTCAAGCAGACAGACCTTTTATTAGACAGACACTCTCAACACATGGCAGCAGGCCGACCCCAAAGGAGTCATCCTCCCCATTCCTTTTGGCTTCCCCCTTTGTATACTTCCCTCTTCTCCTTTTGGCCGCGCCCTGTGCAAAATAGGGCTTGTACCCACCACCAATCAATGAAAGGGAATGCAAATAGGCATACGCTCAAGGCCAATTGACACATGCAACTTATTTAACAGCTGGCTCTGCTGTGTGTGTCTTCCCATAATTCAATGTGACAATCAGATGTATTTCTGTGTAGAATGTTTACAAACCCTTAAAGGGCTCCTAGCTGCCTAAGGGTACTTGAGGAAACCCCTATGATTAGTTTGTATCCACTGTATCCCAGGGTGCATGTGCTAGAGTTGGAGAAGTTCCCCCGCGGTTATTTTGTAGCAAATGGGTGAGCTTCTGGGTGTGTCTGGGATGGGGTTTAGAGATCAGCTTGCATCCTTTTTGGCTAGGCCACCCCTCCTCGCTCATGCCTAAAATACATACACACACACACACACACACACACACACACACAGAGGAATCTGAATGCATGTGTGCTCAATCATGTTCCACTCTTTGCGACCCCATGAACTGTAGTGGGTTGCCATTTCCTACTCCAGGGGATCTTCTCCACTCAAAGATCTAACCTGCGTCTCCTGCAGCTCCTGCTTTAGCAGGAGGATTCTTCACCACTGCACCACCTGGGAAGCCCTATATATACACACACATATATATATTAACATAATACATACATATGCTTTCAAAGGCAAAGAATATATCTGACTACACACACACACAAATGGTAACACTAGTTGCTTATGAAAAGGAATTTCAGGTTTTCCGCTGCTTCACGCAATGTCCCAGAGAGCCTTGTTCACTCTTCTTTGCAGCCATAAAGTCTGAGATGCACTGCCACAAGGGAACTCTTAAATAAATTTAGAATTGTTAAGACTATCTATGCAACAACACACATTAAGAAATAAGAAAATGAAATGATTCATTGCGTGTTAGTGTACTAGACTGTAAGCTTATCAAAGAGCCCCTACTCCCTCCTCCTCTGGTAGGTTCACAGGACTTAAGACAGGAACTAAGGTACCCTTGAAGGACAAGATCTTTAAGGAAAACTTGCTGACTGGGAGGAGCTCCACCTGGCTTCTTACAACACCCTCTTTTGTGTTTCTAAGATCCAGTACCCAAAACTAAAGATAATCATTTAACTGGCAAACATTTTGCCAGTTAAAACAAAAATAGGCTGAGAATAAAAACACAACGAAACAGGGCTTCCAGTCCTTTGTTAGACTTTTTAATCACTTTTGGAAGAAGGGGGTGTCTAGAAAAAGAAAATGGTTATTAAGCGGGCGGGCTCGCAAGTCCACGCAAGGCACGTTGTTTGCAGCAATTCAGACGAGAAATGAAGTGTCAATTGACAAACCCCGCCTCTCCTTCGCAGCTGCTGTTACCTGCCCGGGGTGGGGGCGGGGGCGGGGGCGGAATGAGAAAGAGGCAAAGTCGAGAATCAAAGGAAGAGGGGAAAGTGGGGTCAGGCGCCGAGAAGCTGGAAATGCAACAGTAACATTGGTGGAATTACGAGGAAGGCGTGGCAGGAGCCCGACAAACCAACCGGGAAGACCCGCGGTTCGACGAGACCCGAGCAAGGTGCTCGCAGGAAAACAAAATGAAAGGGGTGACGGGGTGAAACGCGACTGAGGCTTTGATGACAGCTCGGACTGCGTCTTCAACCCGCAGGGGCCGGGGAGACCGGGGGACCTTCCATTGTGCGGGGCCCCGCCGCTCCCTCCCCTCCGCTCCCCGCCCAGCCGAGCCACAGCCGGGGCCCGAGCCCTCTCAGCTCCGGGCCGCAGCTCCCGTCGCCGCCTGTGTCTCCCCTTTGCCCGAGTTAGGAGACAGTATGCTCAGTCCTCCTCCGACCCTTTCTCACCAGCAGAAGATCGCCGTCTCCCGGCCTTCCCCTTGTCCATCTTCTCCTCCAGCTGGAATCGCAGCCGCTGTCACCACAAGCCCCCCTCTGGGTGGAGGAGGGAGGGGGAGGGGAGAGAAAAAAAGGCCAGGAACATGAGAATTGCGCTTGCGCAACAGCCGTTGCCGGCCTCAGACCGGAAATTGCCGTCCCTCCCACCTCCATCCGGAAATCACTTCCTGGGACTTGTTTGCTCTGTGGGTTAGCCGCGGAAGTGTTTGTCTAAGTGGCGTTTTTTCATTCTCTCTGTGCCTATAGGATATTGAGACTGGGCGTGTGAGGTTTTAGCCCAAGATAGCAAAGGTTTTGTTGACTTGAAGATGAGGGTGACTGAAAATTAAAGCAGGGAAGCTTAGGGATCCCCCCACTTCGCTACCCCAGAAACCGTCCTTTGATAGTATTACTTTACTCGTGGCGTCTGCTATGTGTCTGTCCTCAAGGCGCTTCCTCAAATTTAAAAGCAAAAAGACTTTAACAAGACAAAAATCGATAGCCTGTTAGTTTAGCAGTTGGAGTGGAAATCAATTAAGTCAGCTGAGGAAAAAAGAGGGTAATAAGATCTCTTCAAAATTCAAATCCATAATTTTTAAAGGACAGGAAAAAGCTGGACCTCAATTTTTTAAACATAAAATAATGAGATGCTAGCAACTGGGTGGCTGTATATGAGTTTGTTCAACTAATTTTTATTACAGTACTTAAGGGAATAATGCTGACCTCAGCGAACTCAACGATTAGTACTTTTGGACTGATTACTTTTTTAGTCCTTTCATAGGACCCATCAGTTTAGAAAATTGTTCTATTTGATTACCAATAAAGTACATATTTGAATACTTTTTTTTAAGTGGGTAAACTTTAATCATAGTAAGTTTAACAAAATAGCACTCTAGTTAGAGGCAAATGATACTGGAACGTTCCAACAGTTTGACATCCGCTCCCCTCTCCCCCATTTTAGCAAGGCTGGTAATGGGACTTAATTTGTTCAATTCACTGCCAGAGCCTTGCTTCTTTAGCCTTGCTTTTAATTACTGTGTCGTCTGTGCTGGAGCTAGAGGTAAGTAGTCTCCAGGTGATAATGCCTATTGGGCTGGGGGGAGTGTCTTGCAAGGTCAGAATGGCTGAAAAGCAGAAATACATCAGGGCTCGCTGAGAATGAAATTCACTACAAGGATTTCATTTAGAGGCTCTAGTTTACTTCTTTTTAGCAAATAAAAACACTGCCTACTGAAAAATATCTGAATTTTATTATATAAATCAACTTTTTTAATTGAATGATTTTACTCTAGAATCACGCTGGCTTGAATCATCAGCTGATATACGAAACAGAGCTGGAAAAAGATGGAAATAGAGGTAAGAGGTGGAAACATAAAAAAGGAAATTGTAAGTAAGCCTAATCCATTTCTGTGCAAACCTTCCTTAAAAGTAAATGGTTTTAAAGTTTAGCAGTAAGTCAACCTATTAGAAATGACAGCATAAGAAATAATATTAGTCAACTTGCAAACATATCATTTAAACTTGTCATCCAACCAAATAATAGCATTTCTGTTAATAAAGACAGTGAGTCAGTTTGTTTCTTTGAATGGAGCTGGTTTTGAATAACATATTTGAAGATAAATGACCTTTAAGCTCAAAAACTTCAAATTTGCTCTTTAAACCAGTATTTTTTATTGTTTTTACAGTATCTACTGCATAGTTGTATTGCAAACAACTTAAAGGACTAAAAAGTTCAGTCTTTTGAGGGAGTCATTTAACAATCTCACTTTGCACTTTATGAAAGACTAATTACATGATCTTTTGTTTTATAGTGTTTTATGATGTTCAGGTGAAAGCTTCCTTATTTTAAAATAAGGAAGAAAGACCAAAAAAAGTGAATGATTCCCTTAGTATGTTTGTAGATAAGGTCATTTCTTTTATGTATGTTTAGCTCACAATGTATAGAGCCTTTTAAATTAACATTGTTTGAATTAGAAATTCATCAGCCCAGTATTTTATAAGAGGAGAGGATGGACAAGTTTGACCTTAATGAGTATGGTTCTTTATTGAGTGTTAAAAGTGTATATAAAGTGTTTAAATTAGATATTCTGTTTTTGTTTTGACTGATTAAAAGCAGTAGGTATGATTTTTTTAATAGTTTCAGGACATGATGGCAGTGTGAAATTGATCAACCCTTTATTTTAACCCTTAAGTAACAATTTCTTTGAGGAGAGCTTAATCTAAAAATGACCCTTCTCTTCCCAAGTGAATTAACTTTAAGTACAATCTGAATATAAATAGGTTTGGTTGGTGACTAAATATATCAAGGAACAGCTAGATATGAATTCAGGGGAGAGTTACATGTTGGAGGTATATTAGCCAAGCAATGTAAACTAGAATAAATTGTAAAAAATTGTCTACCTTTTCATTCTACAGGATACTCTGCACCTTTTCTCTACACTTAAATATTTGTCCTTTATTTATCTGTGTGCCATTTGGTTATCCAGTTTGCAAACTCCCATTCTTTTCCCCTGAGAATTGTTTCTCAAACAACTAGGTACAAAAGCACTTAACGAAGGTGAAAAAGAGGAATTGAATGCCATATACTACATGCTATTAGAAAATACTGATTTTGTTTTACTCTGATTAAAAGAAAAGTTAGCGAACAACATTCTTTAGTTCTTTAGTTTAGTTGATTTAGGTTTAGTTCATCGAGTTTTACATACAAAGTTATCTTTCTATTTATTTCAGTAGAGAAAAGGGCAGTTTTCAGCATAGTGCCTGAATAAACAGTATTTTTAGATCTAAGAGATTACTGCTTTTCTGTACAAACCTCATCCATGCCAAACTATAAAATGGACGTTCCTTTTTGGCGAGCAATTTAGCAGTATCTGGTAGAATGGAAGATGTCGACATGACTTACAAATTCCACTTATAGGCATATTGCCTAGAGAAACTCTTGATATGTGCACAAAAAATATAGCTATAAGAATGTTCGTTGCAGCTTTGTTTATGTGCTTAGTCACTCAGTCGTATCTGACTTTTTGTGACCCCATGGACTGTAGCCCACCAGTCTCCTCTGTCCATGGGGATTCTCTAGGCAAGAATACTGGAGTGGGTTGCCATGCCCTCCTCCAGGGGATCTTCCCAACCCAGGGATTGAACCCAGGTCTCACTCATTGCAGGCAGATTCTTTACCAGCTGAGCTACCAGGAAAGCCCACTTTGTTTATAATTGTGCAAAACAGGAGCAGCCTTAATGTTCTTCAACAGAATAATGGTTAAACCATGGCATATTCAAGCAATGGGACACTATAAATTGGTAAAATGATCTCGGACTGTGCTTACTAATGTGGGTAAAAATCACAATGTTGAGTAAATAAGAAAGGCTTGGCAAGAGATATATGTTTTTTTTATTTCACATTTCTCAAAAGGAAGATCATCCTGTCTTATTTTACAGAAACTTCCATGTGTGAGACACTGCATAAAATGGCTTTTATCTATATTAATTTAATTCTCACAACAGCCTTGTGAAATGTTATCCTATTTTGCATTTATGCATTGAAAAAATATTTGTATATCCCAGAAACTGTTCCGAGTACTGTAGATACAGCAGTTAATTAAACAAAGTTCCTGTTGTCATAGAGCTTTCATTCTAGTGAGGAGAGACAATTTTTAAATATACAATTATATATGAGGTGGTAATGTAGGCTATGAAGAAAAATAAAGCAGAGTGGCAGGATAGAGGGTAATAACGAACGCTGTTTTAGATAGCATAAACTAAAACTCGGAAGTTGAAGAAACTGAAACTCAGAGAGGTTAAGAAACCAGCTGAAAGTCATTCAACTTAAAATTTGGAGCTAGAATTTAAACCTAAATCAATTAATCTAATTCCAGAGGCTCCTATCTGTCACTTGCACTCTAGAAAAAGATAGTTACATAATAGCACCTGAGATCAGCAACACTGGAAGGAAAAGTTTTTAAAGGAACAGGAAGTAACAGTCTATATAGGAAATATATAGACTATATATAGTCTATATATAGATAACAGGATATATATAGTCTATATATAGCAGTCTATATAGGATAATTTGGACAACCAAATACCTTCATAAAGTACTGGTTGGGTGTGGGAGTCAGACTCAGAAAGTGAGAAGAGTTAAGAAATCAAAACAAACTAGCACTGTTTTGATTTTACCTTAAGCCTTGATAGCAGCTTGAGTGGCAGTGAAAATCATGTTAGTGCTATTTATTGCAAGTGGGTTGTGGTTGCTAGGGCAAGTGTTCAGAAATTCAGGAGCAAGAGTATTAATGTATTTGTTAAGAACATGAATTTGAGTCACATAGCCTCAGTACCTAATCATTTATTTAAGAGTTGTTTGATCTTAGCACAAACCACTTAACCTTTTTTTTCTCCCCCAGATAGAGTCTATTGAGGTTGTTTTCTTTTTTCGAGGGACTTAACCTTTCAAAGACTTTTCTTTCCCTTGGGCTATGGCTACAACTAACTTAACTTCTCAGTCGCTTTTAGTTTCAAACATCAGAATAACCATATCTTCTGTTATTAGATAAGTTGATCACAATCTCCAGTGCCTGGTTCACATTTCACATCCCCTGCCATTTATTTAATAGCAAAAATATTTAAATGCTTACTGTGGAGATAAAGACTAAGCAAATGAGAAAAACAAAAATCTATTCACTCAGCTCACTATAGCAAGGGAGCTAGCCACCATCACTTGCATTTTGGCAGTGACTCAAAGGCCAGCAGAAGAGCAGGAAAGCTTTGTAGTGGAAAAAAAGGGAAGGCTGCTGGCATGTCCTGATTGGACCATATTGGCATGAGGAAGCTGTGTGCAAGCTAACTAAAAGGGAGGCATCCTGTGTGACTGGTTAGCGGTGCCTATCTGGCTTTCTCTGGTGGGTCCCAAGTTGGAAGCAGGGATAAAAATTAGGGAAGCTATAAGTTATTAACCAAGTCTTGGGACTTGCCTGGTGGTTCAGTGGCTGAGACTCCACATAGCCAATGTAGGGGACCCCAGGGTTCAACCCTTGATCAGGGAACTAGATCCCACATGCCGCAACTAAAGATCCTGCATACCACAGCTAAGACTGGGCACAGCCAAATAAGTAAATACAAATCAAGTCTTGGCCATTTGGGGCCAACTGTGACAGAAGCTAAGTTATTGTTTGACTTCTCAGATTGTCACTAGAAGTAAGCAGTCTGACTTCCTGAGATTCTGACTTGCAACACTGGCTTCCAGGGCTGTTTATTGTAGATGAGAGATTTACTTCCTGGGCAAGTTGCTGCAGATTGTGGGCCAGAGTTCTGTTTTTATATATGCTCTAGCCATTGTCCTTCAGTGTATTCAGCTTCTCACTACTTTGCATTTTTCACAATTATTTTGAGTTAAAATCTCCACCATAGGTTAAAATATCAATGTCTTCATGTTTGCTGTTTGGTCACTAAGCTGTGCCTGACTCTTTTTGCAACCCCACGGACTGCAGCCCTCCAAGATACCCTGTCAGTGGGATTTCCCAGGCAAGAATACTGGAGTGGGTTTCCATTTCCTCTTCTAAGGGATCTTCCTATCTCAGGGTTCAAAACCATATCTCTTGTGTCTCCTGCACTGGCAGGCAGATTCTTTACTATGGGGCCACCAGGGAAGCCCTGATGTCTTCATAAAGTGCTTAATTTAGCATGATTTCCCACAGGAAGACTTTAGCAAGATGAAATTTGTATTTTTTTTTCTAGTACTGACATAATACTGCTTTTTACTTTCAGTGGTTACCAGTGACTCAGAAACTGAGCTTCCGAAAATTTATTGAACAGTCTGACTTACTAGAAGAACTGAAATATGACTTCAATGAAAAAGCGGAGTTGAGACACACTGAGACAAATGGGCCTTTTGCCTTTAACTTTTACAGAAATGGCCTGGAGAGGAACAGCAAGCGCTACTGGGCCCTGGGCCGTTTGCTTGAACAATACATTTATGAACTTTTGGAGAAAGTGTGCAAATTACAAAAAGTATATATCCCACCAGAGGCTGATGAGGAGCCAAGAAGCTTCTTTTTCATGAGTGAAAGAGCATTGTCAAGTCATCATTCTGCTCTTCTTGTCCTCCTTCAAGACCACGGGGTCGTTAGAGCTGGTCAGTGGAGTCAGCAGGCAATAATACATCATGGTCTCCAACATGGAAGTCAGATACCGTGTATTCAGATGGCACTGCAGGCACATTATGATGTAATTGTGCTAAACCCCAATGACAATTTTGTGGACCAGCAGACAGGAAAAGAGTGGAAAGGACTTGTAACACAGAATGTTGAGTCCTCTTCCAGAACAATGGTTCAGGCAGAGAGCTTCTCTCTCCAGGAGCCTCTCCAGTGTATCCCAAAAAGAGGCAGCAACACCCCTGCAGAACACATGGCTCAGGTTTGGGATTGCTTCATTTCAAAGACCGAAGGCAAGGATGTTGCCTTCATCGTACATGGTCACGGAGGCTTGGTTTTCATGGACTTGCTTGTTCGTAAGAAGTGGGACGTGATGAGCAAAGTGTACGCTGTTGCACTTATTGACTCTGAACATCACATAGGACACCAGTTGGGAAGTGATGTCCAGTTATTAGAATGGATAAAGCAGCACTGCCGTGAATGGGTGACAAGTCCGAAGCCTTTGGATAAACCTGCAACAACCATTTTGAGAAAGGAGTTTCCTACAGTTTCTGCTGGTACAGAAAAACACAACTTAGCCCCTTCCTCTAGCCTTCAGTCTATTTTTAAATACTTTAGAAAAGCTTTGAAAGCCAAAGCAGCTATTAATTTCTCTCGAGTGTCCATAGTGACTAGAAGCTCTACAAAAAGAAAGCAAAGTGCTTAAGTTACTTTTTTTTGTCATCTAAGATTGTTTTGTCCTACTGAAACTTTGCTAATGTAGATGCTAGAAGAGAAGAACACTTCCAACTCACATGCAGTGTTATGTTCTGACTTCAAGTCTGATTTGTTGACTTTTTTTAAGTAAATATGTTTTGCAAATATGTTCTGTAGCCTACTGATGAACCAGGAAGTCAGTACCATCATTAATATTTTACAATATTAGTCAAAGTAGTGTTGTTAGACGATCTTCTTAGGAAAAGATTTCATATGGTTTAATAGAATGACGCCAAAACTATATTGATAGAAATTAAATATTAAGTCAATCTTTGACTTCTGTATTATTAACGCTATATTAAAATTATAAATGAAAATAAAATTAAGTATCATAAGGTGACTCCATGCTTGTTATGTTTGTGAGTTTTTTCTGTTTTTCTTATGTGTGTGTTTACTCATACCTTTGCTAATATCTGTCTACTAGTAAATATTAATGTTGGGCACATTGATAAACAAGGCCAGCATTGCCTTTATCTTTATTTGGGGTTCACAATGAAAAACAAATTACAAGTGTGAAGAGTGTTAAGAAACAAAGGGCGTCATGGAACATCCAATATGAGCGCTAATAATAGCTTTGGGATTCAGGGAATACTCCTTTGACAAAATGATGCCTAGTTTGAAGAACAGGAGTAGGAAAACAAAGTCACAGTCAAAGGAATCACATGTGCAGAAGTCCCGAGGCAGAAGAAAGAAGTCCAGTTCAGCAGGAGCTAAAAGATTATAGAGTAGTTCTAAGGAAAAAATTATTCATGACATTCATTAAAGACAGTAAGGAAAACTCAAAAGTGACTGGTGCAATGGGGATTTTGTAGTAGGGGAGAGATAGGGCTCAACTGCAAATACAATGATGGGGGTGGGGGGAGGAGTTATAGCCAAGTAGCAATGAATAGAAAATTACTAAGAGAAAACTTCAGGGATAATAAGAGTTTTTCTTGATTGACTCAACAGGATTCTTACTGCAGGCAGGCCAGGGCTGGGAAGATACTGACAGTGGACTATGAGGAATTTTATCAAATATAATAGAGGATGTTCAGATACCAAATGTGAGATTTTCACTAACTGACTCAGCGGAATTTTTGCTAAAACTGGACTAAGCAGACCAAGGGCAAAGCCTACTCAAGAGAAGGGCTCCGAGGAGCCAGAATCAGATTTGATGGAGAGGTTTTGTCAGCAGCTGCAAAGTTAAGTTGGAGAAATAAACAGGCAGCTTACTTAAGGCTGCAATGTCCAAAAAAAAATCTTTTACTTTATTCTAATGACAATGGAAACCACTGGATGGTTTTAGACACAATATTAGTAGATTTACACTTTATAAAGAATATCCTGATTGTAGTTTAGAGAATAGTTTAGAAGGAGAACAAGCTTGGAAGCTAGGAGATCAAATAATTTTGGCAGTAGTTTGAGAAATGTTCAATGCTTTTTTTTCTAAGTGTAAATGTCCTACAGTATTTACGTGTACATCCAAATGATTCATTTTTTGTGGATTATATTCCATCATAATTATAAGATATTGAATATAATTCCCTGTGCTATACAATAAAAGGCTTCCTTGGTAGCTCAGCTGGTAAAGAATCCACCTGCAATGCAGAAGACTTCCGTCTGATCCCTGGGTTAGGAAGATCCCCTGGGGAAGGGGATGGCTACCCACTCCAGTATTCTGGCTTGCAGAATTTCATGGACTGTATAATCCATGGAGTCACAAAGGGTCAGACACAACTGAGCAACTTTTACTTTTTCATACAATAAATCCTTGTTGCTTCTCTATTGTATGTATAATAGTTTGTATCTGTTAATCCCATAACCATAATTTATTCCTTCCTTTGCTTTGGTAACCATAAACATGTTTTCTATATCTATGAATCTGTTTCTTTTGTATGTACATTCATTTGTATTATTTTTTTAGATTCAACATACGAGTGATACCATGTATAATTTGTCTTTGACATTTCACTAAGCACAATATTCTCCAGATCCATCCACATTGCTGTAAATGGCAATATTCCATTCTTATGGCTGAGTAATATTTCATTTGCACATCACATCTTAATCTAATCATCTATCAATGGGCATTGGGTTGCTTCAACATCTGGCCTATTGTAAATAGTGCTGCTATAAATATTGGGGTGCATGCATCTTATCAAATTAGTGTTTTCATTTTTCTCCAGATGTATACCCAGGAGTGAATTGCTGGCTCCTATGGTAACTCTATTTTTGGCTTTTTAAGGAACTCCCATACTGTTTGCCACAGTGGTGGCACCAATTTGTATTCCCACCAACAGTATACAAGGGTTCTCTTTTCTTCACATCCTCTCCAATATTTGTTATTTGTAGACTCTGATGAGGGCCATTCTGAGAGGGGTGAAGTGATATTTCATTGTGATTTTAATCTGCAGAGAAATGCTTAATACTTGTAATGAACAAAATTTTGTGACTGGAGGTCAGGAATAAGGAGAAGAAAATAACAAGGAGTGTCCCCAGATGTTTTGTCTTCAACAATTAGTTGGATAGAAATACAATACTATTTACTAAAAAGAAAAAAGAGAAATATCATTTACTGAGATAGGGACTACTGGTGAAAACTTCATTTTGGCAGTTCCAGAAAGTTTTAAAGAGAGATAAAGGAACAGGTTACAAAGTTTTTTTTTTAGCTCTGCCCCTACATGAGTACTAGAGGAAACCATATTAGATGTTACATTTGAAAAATTGACTCTGCCATATCTAATAGGTCATATGAATTTTTCTGTACATAGCACTTTCTAGTTCTTCTACTGTTCTAATTCCTAGTGGGGTTTTTTGTTTTGTTTTTGTTGGTTTTGGGCCACATCAGACACCATGTGGGATTTTAGTTCCCCAACCAGGGGTTGAACCCATCCCCTGTGCTGGAAGTGAAACCGTTTACCTCAGATCGGGACTTGAACCCAGCCAAAATCCAGTCTGGGACTCAAACTCAGCCAAAACTCACAGTCTTCCCACTGAGGTCACAGACCCGGTTTAGAACCCAATGAAGCTCAATTTTCTTGAGGTTCTCATCACAGAAAGAATTCAGTAAGAGACAAAAACGATAAGTAAGAAGTGGATTTATTCAGAGAGAAACACACTCTACAGAGTGTGGGTCAACACAAGGGCCAGTGTAACGGCCTTGAATTGTGGTGTGGTTAGCTTTTATGGGCTGGGTAACTTCATAGGCTAATGAATGGGAGGATTATTCCAACTATTTTGGGGAAGGGGTGGGGATTTCCAGGGGTTAGGCCACGCCCACATTTGGTCTTCGATGGTCAACCTTGGAACTCTCATGGCACCTCTGGGTGTGTCACTTAGCCTGCTGAATGTGTTACGGTGAGCCTATACAGAGGATCAGGGTCTAGTCAAGTTCACTTGTCTGACGTTTTGGACCCATTTGGTTCTAATCAGCAGTCGCCACAGGACTGGAAAAGGTCACTTTTCATTCCAATCCCAAAGAAAGGCAATGCCAAAGAATCTACCACACAATTGCACTCATCTCACATGCTAGTAAAGAAATGCTCAAAATTCTCCAAGCCAGGCTTCAGCAACATGTGAACCGTGAACTTCCAGATGTTCAAGCTGGTTTTAGAAAAGGCAGAGAAACCAGAGATCAAATTGCCAACATCCACTGGATCACTGAAAAAGCAAGAGAGTTCCAGAAAAACATCTATTTCTGCTTTCTTGACTATGCCAAAGCCTTTGACTGTGTGGATCACAATAAACTGTGGAAAATTCTGAAAGAGATGGGAATACCAGACCACCTGACCTGGCTCTTGAGAAAACTATATGCAGGTCAGGAAGCAACAGTCAGAACTGGATATGGAACGACAGACTGGTCCCAAATAGGAAAAGGAGTACATCAAGGCTGTGTATTTGTGACCCTGCTTATTTAACTTATATGCAGAGTACATCATGAGAANCAGAGTCAACACGACTGAGCGACTGAACTGAACTGGTTCTAATCAGTTCATGTTGTGCCTCGGGCTATATCATTCTTTCAAAGGTTGTGCCCTGCCCCATTCCCTCCTGTTTCAGAAGCAGACTCCTAACTACTGAACCACCAGGGAAGTTCCTCTTAGTGCTTTGTTTTTTTTTTAAAACCTAGTATACACTATAGTTTCTGTTATGTATTGAATGTTTGTGTCCCCCACCAAAATTCATGGTGAAATTTTAATCTCCAATGTGATGGTATTAGGAGGTGGGATATTTGGGAGGTGATTACACCATGAGCATAGAGCCCTTATTACCAGGATTAATGCTGTTATGGAAGAAACCTCAGAAATCTCCCTTCTGCAATGTGAGACAACAACCTCAAATATGCAGATGATACCACGCTACTGGCAGACAGCAGAAGAGTAACTAAAGAGCCTCTTGATAAGGGTGAAAGAAGAGAGTGAAAAAGCTGACTTAAAACTCAACATTCAAGAAATTAAAATCATGGCATCTGGTACCATCATTTCATGGCAAACAGATAGGAAAAAAATAGAAACAGTGAAACATGAAAAAACAGTTTTCTTTCCTTGGACTCCAAAATTTACTGCAGATTATAACTGCAGCCATGAAATTAAAAATTGCTTGCTCCTTGGAAGAAAAGCTATGACAAATCTAGACAGCATGTTAAAAAGCAGAGACATCAAAGGTCCATATACTGGACCTTGCCAACAAAGGTCCATATAGTCAAAGCTATGGTTTTTCCAGTAGTCATGTATGGATGTGAGAGTTGGACCATAAAGAAGGCTGAGCACTGAAATATTGATCCTTTTGAACTGTGGTGCTGGAGAAGACTCTTGAGAGTCCCTCAGATAGCCAGGAGATCAAACCAGTCAGTGCTAAATGAAATCAATCCTGAATATTCACTGGAAAGAAGCTCTAATACTTTGGCTACCTGATGTGAAGAGCTGACTCACTAGGAAAAACACTGATGCTGGCTGGGAAAGATTGAAGGCAGGAGGAGAAGGGAGCAACAGAGAATGGTTGGATGGCATCACCAACTCAATGGACATGAATTTAAGCAGACTCCAGGAGATAAAGGAGGACAGGGTGGCCTGGCGTGCTACAGTCCATGGGGTTACAGAGAGCTGGACACGACGTAGCGACTGAACAACAGTAACGTGAGACACAGTGAGAAGACAGCCATCTATGAAGCAGGTCTTCACTGGACACTGAATCTGCTGACATTTGATCATGGACTTCCCAGATCTAGAACTGTGAGGAATACTTGCAGTTTAAGGCTCCCAGTCTATGATACTCTGTTGCTGCATATTAGATAACCCCCGAAACTTAGTGACTTAAAACAACATTTATTATCTCACAGCTTCTGTTCAGGAGCAGCTTAGTTGAGT